AGCCACAAAATAAACTATTAGATACAATAAATTAATGAATTCAACAGTCACAGAATACAAGATCAGCATTCAAAACTAAGTTATATGTCTATATACTAGCAATGATCAAAAAAGAAAAACAGAACAATTTATTTATTTTATTTTTAGTTATGTACACATGTATAGACCTGTGTACATGAGTCAGGTGCCCACAGAGGCCAGAGGCATCGGATCTCACAGGTGGTTGTGATCCACCTGACATGGCTGCTAGGAACTGAGTTCCAGTCCATTGCAATGCTCTCTTAACCATGGAGCCATCTATCTCTCTAGCACACAGTTTTATCTGGTTTATAATAGCATCAAAAACTAACTTCAAGTGGGTCTGGTAAAATGGTCCGTTGGATAAATCTGCTTGCCACCAAGCTTGATGACCTGTGTTTGATTCCTATGTCCTATACAATGGACAGAGAGAACTGACTCTTGGAAGCTGTCCTTTAACTTACACACACATACATACACACACACACACACACACACACACACACACGTACATACGTAAATAAATAAATGTAACTAATTGTTGGGAATAAATGTAATGAGAAGATTTCATTGGAAGACAATCATATTGTCAAGATGGCAAACTGTGCATCCCACCCAAAGCCAAATATTCATGTTTCTACTGAAATAGAAAGGCTGACTGAAATTCACAAAGAACTTTAAGGGACATGAAATAATTAAAGTGTTTTGAAAAAAACTAAGTTGGAGGAGTCACATGTCTCACTTTTAAAACTTATTACAAACCTAATGGAATCAAAGCAGTATGGCGCTGGCCTAAGCGTAGGCACAGATCAATAGAACAAAACCAGGAATTGAGATGAAAACCCTTACAAGAGGGGCAAGACCATTCAATGGGGGAAAAGAGTATTTCTTTCAACAAATCTACAAAGCAAACTGGGTATCTGTGGCTCAAAGAACAAATGTGGACCCTTGCTTCACCCATACGCAAAAATTAACCAAAGATGAAACAAATCAAAGGGAAATGATAAAACTCTTAGGATAAAGTTCGGGGGGCTGGAGAGATGGCTGAGATTAAGAGCACTGGCTGCTCTTCCAGAGGACCTGAGTTCAATTCCCTGCAACCACATGGTGGCTCACAACCATCTATAGTGAGATCTGATGCCCTCTTCTGGCCTACAGGCATACATGCAGAGCACTCATACATAAAGTATAAAGAAAAGAATAAAGTTCAGGACAATGTTTATTGCCTAACTAAAAGATGACTTTTTAGCCCTAGCACTCAAAACACAGGCAAACTAAGAAAAATTAGATAAACTGGACTTTGTCAAAACTGGATATTTTAAGGCACCAAAGGACAAGGTCAAGAGAATGAAAAGGTGATGTGGGAACAGTAGAAAATGCTTGCCAATCATATGCCAAACAAGGCTATGTGCAGAATGGGAACTCTCTGTCTCTCTCTCTCTCTGTCTCTCTCTCTCTCTCTCTCTGTCTCTCTCTCTCTCTCTCCCTCTCTC